TTCTGGTCCCATTCTTTAACCTCAACTTCCTTAAATTTCTAGGCTGCACACAATCCACTCTTAGGGATTGCTGTCATCTTCCTCAGTCTTATACGGCTTTCCTGCGTTTACCGCTTGATCGGTCTCCTGCTTTTGATCGAGTGACTCTGGGCTGCCTCCAACGGGTTGTGCGTCCCTAAGATACTTTTGCTTGTAACGCATCCTTCAGAGTTTCTATCTTTTAGCTCTTCCTCTTCTCGGGTGGGCGTCTTCTGGTTGGACCATGGGTAAATTTATATGGAGAATCTTTCTGGCTGACCCTACGTTACAACACTTAACAAACTTACTGCTGTTTTGAATTAACGAGGTTGTTACGATAATGAGTAAGTCTTTTAACCCGCTAATACATGCTTATGCCAATAACCAATTCCTATCAAATAAAACTAATCTATAAAAATGTGAATCAAGACAGTACTCTTTGTATTTTCTTTGCCCCCTCCTCATCTTACAAAATGCACTGCCCCTCATCTCACCTGTTATCCTGCCCCTCATCCTAAACTTCATGGTGATGTTGAACTGTCTATCCCCTCTCACTTATCGTAGGTTGTGACATAATTCACTATACAAAATTTTCGTGTTTACATACGCATATATAGATACAAACACAATACATGCTTATTAAAAGCTCATACACATGCTTACACACTCATGCACACTCATACAGATGCTTACACACTAGTGCACATGCTTACACACCCATGCACACTCATACACATGCTTACACATGCTTACACACTCATGCACATGCATACACACTCATACACACTCATACACATGCTTACACACCCATGCACACTCGTACACATGCTTACACACTCGTGCACATGCTTACACACCCATGCACACTCGTACACATGCTTACACACTAGTGCACATGCTTACACACCCATGCACATGCTTACACACCCATGCACATGCTTACACACCCATGCACACTCATGCACACTCGTACACATGCATACATACTCATACATAAAAAAGTTAACCATAAAAAAATTGCGTTTAAATCCCCCTATAACTTATTACCCCTTTAATCGAACAGAGTATTTGCCTGAGTTTTATACGCTTTATTGGCCGTGCAACAATTGCACTGGTTTTGACCTTAAAGAAAGAAGAG